AGATCAAGCTTAGTGAGCACACCAATAGTTCGCTTGCCAACAGGATCAACATGACGAGCGAGCTTCAAAGCTTCAGAGTTGACAATGTCCACGTTCGCAGGAGATACAGCAAGGATAATGCTGTTTGGCTTGGCAATATATTCCGAAATCAACGTCCGTGTCTGCTTTTCGATATCGGAAGGCTGGTCACCAATCGGGACTTTGGTCAAGCCAGGAAGATCCACGAGAGTCAAATTAAGCACATGTGGGGAGAAGATCTTCAGGTTTATCGGCTGACGGTTAATTCCCTTGTTATTTCCCGCTATTCTCGCGGTTTCGTTCTCAATCTCTTGTTTTATATGTGCGAAATCGGTGTATTTCCGGCCAGGCTGGTGGTGAAATTCTCCCCACTCTCCGTGTTGTTGGACACTGCCGGCAGTGTGTGGTTCATTTTCGTCGTCACTGTCCGAGGGAACGTTGATGAGCTGGAGAATCAAGGGCCGTCTAGTAACAATGCCGCTTCCTCTGGGTAGGAAGTCTCGTCCAACGATATTTTCAAGCACTGAAGATTTTCCGGACGATTGCGAGCCGACGACTACCTATACAACAAAAGGTGACCCAAGAAAGGTACCAAGTCAGCCAGTATTCTTTTTCTTCTATCCTCCATATAATTGTAAAGAGTGATTCAACCAAAGTTTTAGCTTGGGCTAAAACTGGCACTTCGGCAGTTGTCCCTGTATATTGTTCAGGCAGACGTACAATCTGTGGCAAATCCAAGGAATCGTTCCCAATGGTATTGAACACCAAGTCCTGGAGCTTGTTGACGGTTACAAGCAAGTCGTCGCCCAAGGAAGTCATTTTGACGAGCTCTACCGTGTATCCGGGTTATGGCGCGGAAGCACTGTATTTGAGGTTGCCGGGTAACGCAAGGGGCTTCCGGGAAAGTGATAGGAGGGCAAAACAAAGCTGGCGACCGCCAACGTCTCCGGCATAGAGACCAGGGCAGGGAAAAAGAACGGCAAGGGTCGCGGAGAGCGACAGGCAGCTGGAGACGTCCGTCGAGAAGAGCGAAGTTCGAGGTGCTGGGGGAGAGGCGGGCTTCAGCTGGGGGCAGCGGAAGAAGAGGTGTTGATGCTGCTTCGTTGACTTTTTGTTTCGCGATGGCGGCGTCTTTTTTGCCTTTTTTTTTTGCTTGTTTGAGTTTAGGCTTTTTGCAGGCGGAGGTTCTTTCTTCCGAGCCGAGGCACGTGAGGGCGATAAAGTCGAGGCAGAAGCAGTTGATAGTATATTACATAGTTCTACATCGGAGAAGATAGAGACGGAGATAGAGACGAGAAGCAGGGAAATGTAAGAATAAGGCTCTAGTGGCTTTTTCATTTACAAGAACTAATCCAGCAGACAAGAAACTGAATGAAAAACAGGCAAACCAAGCAAGCAGGCGACGGGCGCTGCCCAAAACTGTTACTGCCGGAGGAGTCCTCCCTTGTGTGAGTAGTGGTATGTATGTACGCCGAAGAGGATGATACTGCCGTTTAGCTGTCGAGCTGGACATAGTTTGCCGGGAACAAGCCGACCTTACCCTGGTACTCGCCTGTCCACCAGTCCTCATCGGGGAATTCCTACAAGAAAAAGTTAGCGGGGAGCTCACGTCCAACAGCAGATACAAGTGGAATACTCACGATATTGGTGATTTTGGCATCTTCCGGGAAGCTGAGTTCGTTGTCCTCAGCAGCCTCATAGTCGTACAGAGCAGTAGCAGTGTGCTGTGCGGCGGCAGCGGCAGGAGGGGCAGCTGGTGGTGGAGGAGCGGCGGCAGCGGCGGGTTCTTCATGGACAGGTTGAGCTGGTGCTGGAGGAGCACCTCCGGCGGCATCTTCGCCCTCGACAAGTTCGACGTAGTTCCTAGGGAAGAGTCCTGCTTCACCGCTGGAGTTGACTCCAAGCCACCAATCCTCGTCAACCATGTCAATGTTGGTGATACGCTCTCCTTCTCGCAATTCAATCTCGTTGTCCTCTGCCTTCTCGTAATCGTACTGCGCGATAGCCTGAATACCACTACCAGCCACTGGTGCGGCTGTATAAGTCTGCTCTTCTTCCTTTGCTGGCTCATGTGTTTCTTCATGTACGGCCTGATGCTGGGTAACTTCTGGCACTGCGGGCTGCTCCGGAGCAGCAGGGTGCTCATCGCGTGTTGCTCCGCGGCCAACAGGCATTGCTACCCGGATCGGAGAGCCTGGAGCTTCCTCCTGTTCTTCCTCTTCCGGCTCAGCTGCGGGTGGAGGTGGAGGTGGAACCGCACGTTGAGTCTCCTCATGTGCTGGTTCAGGTGCTGGTGGTGGTTGAGACAGTCCCGGAATGGGGACACCACGGCCTGAAGTCGGCTTGTTGCTGGTATCTAGTGGTGGTGGGGAGGGAGCAGATCGTTCATAGGTTGCAACACCGATAGGAGCGGCATGAGGAAATCGGTCTCGAATAGAACCAACATTGCCAGTCTGGGGTTCCTCTTGTTGCTCCTCATGCTTCTCTTGTTCTGGAGCACCAGGAGCCTCTGCGTGGCCAGCAGATGCGCCAGTTTTTGTTGTCTGAACTGGAGCCCATGATTTTCCGGTGTATGAACTCTTCCACCCTGTTTCCTGGCTCTTTTGGGTATCCTTTGGCTGTGCTTCCGGGACTGGGGGTGGGCTAACAACACCACCTTCTTTGGCTTTCTTCTCGGCCCAAAGCTGGGCTGGGGTTTTACCTCCCTGGTCAGCAAAAGTTCGACTGGCAATTCCAACAGGGGCTGCAGCTACTGGGGGCTTGGATTCAAAACCACCAGGAAGTGGGGCTTTAGTCCCAGCAAAAGAAGCTGCCGCGCCAAATTTAGGAGTGACCTTTGGTTTGGGTAGACTGGTCAACCTTTCAGAAGTAGTGAAGGCCGCTGAGCGTTCGGCAAGAGACTTTGGCTGTTCGTCGTTACCACCAGAGCCTCCGGTGGCTGCGGGTGAGATCGTGCTTGGGGAATCACCTTTAGCCTTGGCACGGATAGCAGCAATGTCTACCTTTCCAACAGGTTGATAGGCTCCCTTAACTATCTCTGGGCGGTCGTTAACATTCTGTCCAGATTCCTTTGCCTGTCTTCTGATAGCCGCAATATCAACTTTGCCAATAGGTTGATATCCACCCTTTACTACATCACTCGGTGCCTCTCGCTCTACGGCAGGTCCCGAAGTGGTAGCTGACTTTTGTGAAGTCAATTCCTTCATATTAACCTTGGTAGGTTTGTATGCCGACTCAACTTTCTCAAGCTGTGTTCTGGTAACTGGAGGGGCATCTGCTCCCCATCCATCCTCGTCGACCGGCTCATTCGCTGCGTGGCCGGGCAAGTTACCTCGTACTGTAGGTTTGAACGAGCCAGCGGTGCGGGTAGGGTTAAAGGCTGGCTTCGCGGCGACTGGTGGTTTTGTCGAAGCCGGGGCTGGAACGGAGGCATCTCCGGAATATTTAGCACCAGATGCGTCGGCTACCTTCTGAATAATACTTTCTGGAGTAAGATCACGATCAGAACGAGCAGTGACTTGAACATGGTATCCCTAAATAACGCTGTCAGAAATAATGGTCGATTTGCTTGGAATCAGAACGCAATTTCGCACACACCTGCAGAAATTTGGCGACGGCAGCTAGATGGCTAGTGAAGTAACCCTTGGTTCGCTCAGGGACTCCCTCACCACACCAAGCAATGAGGACATGCTTCGGCAGGCTGGTGTTCGGGTCTTTTACTTTGACAAAACCGAATTGTATTTTCCCTTCCGAGAAGTCCTCGATCAGGTCTACTAGTTCACCCTCTATAAAGAAACTTGTCAGTCGAGTCCTAATAAACCCCTGCAAAACACTATAGCGAAGGTAGACATACCTCCTGTGCTTTGGACCTTGAGTACACTCTCCTTCTGGGCACCACCTTGTTGGAATGCGTTTACAAGGGGAGTTGTGACTGAGAACAAGGCCCATGATCCGTATGTTGGAGAAGCCGCCGCGGGACCGGTTGGAGCGGGAGCGTTCACTACCGACTGGTAGCTCTTTGTTATCGACGGTCCATTAGTCGAGAGATTAAGAGACGCCATGATATGATATCGCGCGCGAGGTAGAAAGCCTGTAAGTGTAGTTCTATCGTAAAGTAGATGCTGGAGGTGGAGTGTTGGGCTGGGTTGTAGCGGGCTTCGTGATGGGGTGATATTCCCAGCTGAGGGTCAAAGAGTGAAGCTCGCAGAGAATATAGAGGTAGCAATGGAGGATGTCACTAGTTTATAAGATAAAGAATGATAAAAAAGAAGCCTGCAAGGCCTAAGTAATGTAGAGACGTGAGAATGACGGTTGTTTTGTCCGTTGATTGTTGACTGGCGGCGTACTGAGGCCGATAAGGACCAGATACGCAAACTCGAAAAAGCGGCGTGGGAAGGTGTGGCGCAGCCGCAGAGGCGCAGGCAGTGTCGACACGGCAAACACTGCTATCAATACGCAAACACGACTCTACGTCACAACAACATCTATACGCACTCAGCTTGCAACTTGGTCATGGACTACATATTTCGCTTCATCGTATTCCGTATGCTAGGCTCCAATCTACAAGTCACCGACTCTTTTCAACCTCCTGTGCCTTGGTAAGGTTTCCTTCAAAAAATCCACAATTTCAATAAATTTACCCACCTTTTACTACTTCTATAAGCAGTACGGAGTATACTCTGTTCTTTAGGTATCTACCTGTGCCAAATTCTCTAACTTAGGTGCTTCTTTTTATTTGATGCCTGAAGATTGACGGACAATCGATAGTTCTTATCTGATGATCTTATCTCCACGTGATACGGATAAACCAAAGTCCCGGGAAGCCAAAAAGTTTAATGGGCGAAATCTTGGCATCAAAATTCAAAAATCCGAGGAAGCTTTTGATAGGAAAAAAGGGCGCTTCACAAGAACAAGACCTATCACTTCAACTGCGCATAGAACAGGCCGTTTTCTCGACTATTTGAATACAATTCACCGACACAATGTTGCGAGAAGTGTAAGCATAACCAATTTCATAATCATTCTTGTTACTATGTTTCTGTTGATAACTTGAATACTAACATTGATCAGGGCACCACGAAATGCGCGAACGCGGCGCATCCTCAAGGCCAGAGAACCGCAAGTGATTGAGCCTCCGAAGCAAACACTCTTGCTCCACGGTCCAAAATGCCCTTTACCGCTCCATACAGTACTAAAAACCTTCCACTCGCTCACAAAACCTCACTCTGTGCTGTTCCACAAGAAGAACGAGAACATTCACCCTTTCGAGAACACGGAGAGCCTTGAGTTCCTAGCCACCAAGAACGAGTGTGGAATCGCTATTTACGGAAGCAGCAACAAGAAGCGGCCAAATTGCATTACCATACTACGTATATATGACTCCAAGGTGCTCGACATGTGCGAGCTGCTGCTGCTAGGAACGCAAGCTGAGATGGAAGCCGACGCTGCGGCACAAAAGAATGCCAAATCTGCTTTCCAGCTAAATGTTGGTGTGGGTATGAAACCCATGATTCTTTTCTCGGGAACTGTATGGGCCGACGAGACCTCTGGAGTCTTCAAGATGCTCAAGAGCATGTTTTTGGATATTTTCAAGGGTGAAGAGACCGACAAAATAGACGTTGAGGGATTGCAGTACATTCTCATGGTGGCTGCTGAGGAGCCTCAAGACAGTGGTTTTTCAGCTACCAACAGCTCCTTTCCAGCCATCCATTTACGATGGTACAAGATCCGAACCAGGAGGAGCGGTCACAAGTTGCCTCGCGTGGAGCTAGAAGAAGTTGGACCAAAGTTCGATTTTAGAATCGGTAGAGTCAGAGAAGCTGATGAGGACACTATGAAGACGGCGATGAAACAAGGGAAGAGGCCACAGGATATGGAGAAGACGAAGAAGAATATTGGTATGGACAGCATTGGCGATAAGATTGGACGAGTACATCTTGGTCGCCAGGACTTGAGTGACTTGCAGACTAGAAAGATGAAAGGTCTCAAGCGACGAGCGGGTATCGACGATGAGGATGAGGATGAAGAGATGGGAGGTATGGAATCAGATGAGATTTCAGAAGATGAAAATACAAGTCACAAGCGACCGAAGAAAGAGTAGTTTGTCTGATTGTGTTGAGTGTGTTGCTTTCGAGAGATGGAGAAAAAAAGTTATGCTGGATGCTTTATGCAAACTTATTTATTAGCATGGCGTTATGTTAGGTTGGGCTTCGACAGAACAGGTAGTGATACACGTGCTTTGGGTTGCCGACGTTCTTTTTATCATGGCAAAAAATGTAGACAGGTGTCAAATTAAGCTAATAAGCATTATGTATATTTGGGCCGCAAAGGCATCCGTGCGGAAGTGGGCTGAAACGGTCGTCCAAACGGAAGAAGAAGAAAATCATCAACAACGTCGCTCAAGAAAGGAGACGAAGATGAACATGGAATCAGACCCAAGGTAGGCGTTACAGCGGAAGTTATCAACAATGAACCCCCGATAACACCCTAACCGCGCCAGTGATATTCCATTAAAAGATATTAATAAACAGAAGGATCTAAGGTCCGGCGAAAGGAAAAGAGCTCATGTATACATTGCGGATATCCTTTAGGTCATTTCACACAGGCTATTTCATGACTTATAGGAGAAGAGCAAATCCAGCAAGGAAACCGGATGCCACGACAACCATTCCATACATCTGGCCGACATTCAGGAGAGCCTGGGGGCCTGCCATTCCCTTCTTTGGCTCGTCGGTAGCAGAAGCAGACCCGTCGCCGAATCCGGTGTAGACGGCACCGCTCGTAGCAGAGGTGCTGGTGGTCTGGGTGGCTGTCATGGTAGGCTTAGCGGTGGAGTTTGGTGGAGTGGGACTCTGAGCACCGCATGGGTGATCTTCACGGCAGGCAGACTGGCAAGCATGGTCGCCATTGCAGTTCTTGACACATATGTTGTTGGATTCTGTGCAGATAAAGTATGGGATGGTCTGAGAGTATTCGGTTGCGTTGGGGGTCTTGCCGTTGCTGCAGGTGCAGTCAAAAGTAAGAGTATCCTAATTATGCGAATTAGCTACTATTCCTGTATTCTCTCCGGATAAGAAGCAAGGAGAGCATACAGCATCACAGTCGTTTGCTGAAGGGGTCTCTGAGGTCCCCGGGAGCTGGAGGCAGATCAGAGGGCACGAGGTTTGCTGGGCCAAACACCATTGTTCTGTACAGTAAGAGTTAGCCTTGAGATATTGTAAGACACGTTGACAACACAGATTACACAGATTACTGACCTCTGGTAGTTTTATCCACATCATCTGGGTTAACGACCTGTGCGGAGGCCAGGCGAGCAACAGCAACGGCTGCGAGAAGAGCTTTTGGGAAAAACATGGCGACTGTAGCTAGGTGCTGGGTAGTTAGTTAGCAAAAGAACACGGCTCTAAATATCTCCGCTGGCAGGAAAATATATGATATGAGATTCCACAGTCGAGGAACCGGGTGGCTGTCAAAGCTGTCGACGGGGTACATGCGTAACAACGCTCGTGGACGTACCTGGGGTATGACAGATATGGCAGAAGGTACCAGGCTGATAAGTGTCCACACGTGCGAGAAAAGCAACTAATCAACAGAGCGAGTGACTGGGGCAAAGAAAGGCAGAGCTGATGGCGACTGAAAAAGCGAGAGATGGAGAAGATAAGAAGCAGACGAAGAGAAAGAAGAAGAAGAAGAAAAAAAAAAAAAGGAGAAGTTCCTGCTCCTCGCTCTTCTGCCCCTTGCTCTCCAGCCTAAAAAAGGTAATTGAGACAAACAAATGTTATAGAGTTTGAAGCTAGCTGTGATTGGACGGCTGCATGACCATGGGATCGGCTATGCTAAGCCTATTCAGGACTAGCGCATCCACTTTGCGGGCAGGCTTCATGCCAAGATACACTAGTCCCATTGAGGAATTAGCTTATGTCATCTTTGACATTGCTTATTTTTATTTTTAGATAAGCTTAAAAGCCAAAAAACAGACGTTGAAGCTGAAGATGAAGGAGATGGAGGTGTTGCAGCTTTGATATCCAGCAGAAAGGAGTGGAAAGGGACTGGTGTGTGGTGAAAGAGCCGAAGTCGAGGTGGTGTTGAGTTTGTTGAGCTTTCTCGAGATCAGACGTGGATCTGCAAGGTTCTGGGGAGCTCACTAGCGACCAGCCGAGGTGGCACTGGGCCTTGGCTGCGTCGCTCTTCACGCAGTTCTCCAGAGGAAAACGTCAAACTCAACCCAACCTTTCCCCAATCTGATAATCTTCAGCAGAACTCCCTGTCATCTCCCCTTACCCTCTCGCCATCAACCGAAGTTATTAGGATTTCTTTCTAGGTATGTTCAATAATCGGTAGTGCGGCCGTCCGCTGTCTCTGCCGCCCCTCCATGGACCGCGGGTGGCCTGGTACACCCCCTATCCTGAAGCTTCCCGGTCTTGTCTCACCCCATGCAATCTCTCCATGTGTGAATTTGAGACACGCATCGATAAGTCACACGGCGCATCCTCCACGTCAGTGTACCAGCCTTCGCTAAGCATGTTGTCTCATGTATAGTTAGCTCTTGTGTACGCTTCCGAAAGCCGGCCTTTCCCGCATATCCGCAAACAGTGCTCACCCTCTCATACACCCTCTTTCCCTTGAAGGAAAAAAAACGCGCAGTATATACCCTCGAAACCAGCGGGACTCCGATACTCTGATGGATGGAGCCGGCCGGATCGCCTCGCGCGCAGACCGCGATGCTTCCGCAGCCACGCCATGTGGACTCCAAAGGCGCTGAGACAGCGTCTATCCCCTCCGCTCCCCGCACCGGAACGCCTCAGTCAAACCCGCAGACAGCTACCCCGCCTTACTGGAAGCACTCGCGCAATATCTCACATGCATCTCACACCTCCCTGGACCGGTCCAGCGGTCTGATAACGCTAGAGGATCATAGCGAGGACCCCTCGTGCGATAAAAGCAAGGGGCTTTGGGCCAAAGACGTAACTATCGACAACTATGCCGTTGTCAAGGGCCAGTCGGGAATCGGGGCGTATGTCGTATGGATATGTAACATTCAGACTCTGGAGGTGTGTCCCCAGTTTCTCTCCTCTGTTGTGAAAGCACAGAACACTTCGGTACTGATGCTCAGAATGTCTAGGGAGCATCCATGGTGGTTCGAATGAGGTTTGTGTCCATCTGCACGTTTAGGCTACAGCATAAAACCTAGCATCAACTCATGGTCCCTTAATATAGGTACTCCCAGTTTGTAGACCTTCGAAGCAAGCTTGCGGAGGCATATCCCCATTGCAAGAAGTCCTTGCCAGTTTTGCCGCCTAAGAGCGCACTATGTATGTTCTACCTACATAAGACACTCATCCCAGTCCTTAAGCTAATAAATAATCTAGTTAAATTCAACGCAAAGTTCCTCGAAGCAAGACGACAGGGCCTTGCCTATTTCTTAAAGTAAGTATCTTTCGCCCCGGAACTATACTTGTCGTCTGCGGCACGTTCTCTGACCTGACCTGACCTCGATTAGCTGCGTTTTGCTGAATCCAGAGTTTTCTGGTTCTCCTATTCTTAAAAATACCCTTTTCACTCACTCTGCCTAGTATCTCATCACTCCCAGCCCCAACTATCACTTAGACAAGTCGTGGTCAATAACAGGCACCAAACAGGCTTTGGTGCAGGCCCTTGGAGTATCCGCCACACCCTTGTGTTATTCTGGGTATATATGTATTTAGCCGTGATAACGCTTTTTAAAATACTAGCATTAACACAAACAACTAGCCCAGTCCCGGGGTCCTGTCCAAATTGCATGAGAGCCCAGGGATTCCCCAGTAGCTTAAATCAGCCTCCAGTGGCGAGCTTTGGTTAAGCCGCCCAAGGGGTAGCTGCCATCAACTAATCAATTAACTAGTTAGCTGAGGACCCTCGGTTCCTGCAAGCTCGATAGGACAGGCGTCTGGCCCCCTGAACCATTAGCCGCGCTGACAACAGGCTTCTGTCCGGCCCTGAGTGACGCTCACTGCATGTCATTTGGGCATTCACTACTGGAATAGACCATTCAAGGAGAAAAAGACACGAATTCTCCTCTCATTCCAGGCATTTTCTCGCATTTTGTAGATTCCTGCTGCACTTTATTGATTAGTCAGCGAGTTGATACCGTACTGGTACACCAATACACGCCAAAGCTGAAAGATACAAGGGGTAAGTATCGTAATCTCATAACGAACCTCACTCGATGGCTTGCCACCGCGACTTCGAGATAGTCAAGAAAAAGAGGCGACGGCGAGGTTCATATTTTTCGCAGCGGACAAGCTGCCAGGACGCGGATACAAAAAATTACACTGTAAGTGCATGCTGGCTCCACGGGAACAGTGCGAGAGATAGCCGTCGAGAGCCCATACCAGGGAGCTTGTTCTCCTCTCTTCCGCTCTGCCGCCATGGTGCTTGTTGTCTAGCCACAGATTTTTGCCCCCTTGGACCAGGAACCAGATGATGACTCGCACCGTGACATCGCCGCCGTCGTGCAGTACGCGAACCAAGACACAGCGCCAGCATCATCAGCAGCACCAGCAGCACCAGCAGCAACGCGACCAGGCGCCGCCAGGCCTCGCCGAACCGCCACCGCCGACCTCTGCCTCCCCGGTACCTCCTCCTCCGCACCAGGCACACACCCATGCAAACACACACCAGTTCATCTACGCCCACGACGAGCCGCCGCCAAAACGAACAAAGCTACACCATTCCCCGCCTCAGGTGTCGGGGCAGCTCGCTCTGCGCGCCAGAGATGCTCAGGGCCAGTCCAGCGTCGTTGCACGGCCTCACTCTCTACCCCAGCGGCACATACAGACGCAATTGGTGACCATCAGGAGTCCCAGGAACGGCGATGACAGTCCTGGAAACCGTGCAGGTGGCTGTCTATCGTTCGCGAAACCGGATGCTACAACCAATTCTGCCACCAGGACCAGTGACTCGACGTTAGTCCGTCCAACAAGGGCTTCGTTGAGACATTCTCGATCTACACAGGTGGATGACGGAGATATGCCCCTTGTCCAGAGAGCTCCCGGTGGCGGAGAAGATGCTGATATGCAGGGTGTTGAAGCTACTACTAACAATGAAGTTCATCTGAAAACACCGCAGGGCCCCAGTGCCACCACTCCGGCCGGAGGGGAAAAGAGGTCTTTACGGTCTCATGATGGGGGCACCCGGCCTTCAAAGAGTGAATTGGCTATGTATTTCCCCAATTATGAACAGATCCTTAGCTTGGAACCAGCAAAACAAGGTAGGTAGCATGCTAGCCTGGTGTATCCCGTCCGGTTGCCTCCATGCTAACGTATCAACTTTTAGAGTTTCTCTGTGCTGAGACGACAGTTACCCTGGTGGATGACCTCACTGAACCAATAACACTAGACCATGAGGGACTAGGAACCTCGTCACTGCCACAGAATCCCCTTGAAAACCTGCACAACGCAGAAGTCGTTGATGTTGGGTCATTCGAAGGAACTGATGGTAAAGACCCGTTAGATGAAGATACCTTTTTCAAAGCTCACAGAAGGCTTGAAAGGCAAGAGAAGCAGCTGCGCAACCTTGAAAAAGAGCGAGCTCAATATGAAAAGACCCAACTAGACCACTTACTGGGCGAGCTACAGGGCCACGACTGGCTCCGGGTTATGGGTATCAACGGAGTCACCGACAGTGAAAAGAAGCTGTACGAGCCTAAACGAGACTATTTCGTTGGAGAGGTCACTGCTTTGCTTGAAAAATTCCGAGCATGGAAGGAAGAGGAAAAGCGAAGGCGAATTGAGCGGGAACAGGCCCTCCTGGCGGAAGAAGACGAGCAGTCAGACTCGCAGGAAGAAGACGAGGACGACGATGAAGAAGAAGCTGAGGAAGAAGATGATGATGAGGAGGATGAAGGTGAAAGTGGTCTCGTTGAGGGAAGCTCTGAACGGACGTCAACCACGGCAATTGGTAGTCTCCCAGACCCGGACGATGTCGACCGTCTAGCTGCACACCAACTCTACCAGGAGGTGATATCAGCCACCAAAAACAAGAAACTGAAGGTTCAGAAGAGTAATCAAACCTCTCAACCAGCTAAGCAATCCAAAGCGCAGCCTCAACAGCAGCCAACAGGAAACAAGGGCCTGGACTCTTCAAAGCCTGCAGCAACATACATCGAGCCCAATCCTTGGCCGACAGGACCTTTCCTATCATTCTACTCCAAACCTCATCTCCGAGAATCAGCTCTCAAGAAGCACAAGCGAGGTCGAACGCGAATGGCATTTGGGAAACCCCTGCCGGAACTGGTGGAGGCCTCGTTCCGACTGCCTGATGAGATCCTCACCCCAGAGGCCATCCGGGCTGCTCAGAGGAGGAACAGGCGGATG